GCCAGCAGATAGACTATCTGACAGAGATGGTCTGCGAGACGGCAGTCCGACAGACTGGCGATTTTCATCAGACGGACAGACCAGAGCAGGCCGTCCGTTTGGGTTGGGCTGCTATTCCAGCCTCGCTACCAGTCCGCCGCGCTTTGGGTAACTGCAAGGGGCAAGTCTTCTCGACGTGGCGCTTCTGCAAGGGCCCGAAACTATTCGTTACCTTTTGCCTGTTGCATGACAGCTTGCAGTGTCAGATTCTGCTGAACATTGACGCTATAATTATGGGCTGCATAAAAGGAGCGACGGATCCTGAGTCATGTAAGGGAGAATTTTATCGTCGGTATAAAAGTGTAATTCATCGGCGTAGTTTTGAACCTGGGGCGAGGTGGGGAAGATCAAGTTTTAAGGTTCGGGAAGTTTAATGGCCCTGTAACTCGGCTAATCAATCCATGTGCGATATTATCAGCACCTGAGTCGACATGGATTGAAACAGGCGTACCGCTATTTGCTTTTCCTGGGCAGATTTACCCCCACGCATTAATGCCTTATCTATAGCATGAACTGCAGTTATTGCCAAGGCTTTCTATTCGGCTTAATCTCTTACTTGGCATTTATCCTTTTTTATATATAGCTCTGTAAGTAGCACCTCGATCAAGAAGCTAGAAGCTTTTCAAACTTACACTCTTCAAACCTTGATTCCCTACAGTTCCTACATGACTATTACCTTTATCACCGTTATCACGCTACTACCATGCTCGCCTTATCCTTTTTGCTAAGTGCCGCCGCGGGTGTTAACGCGATGCTTGGCAGCGATATTAAACCCGTCAAAATCTCAAACACAACATACATTTGTCCCACCGATTGTACCTATGGAGGTCGCTTATATCAGCGGGTGGGAAATTCGTGCCTGGAAAGCGAAATTGTTGTTTCGTCTGATTGGGGCTCTGAAGACTTCTATGCCTGTAATGGGACAAGCCCTGAGGGCTGGCACGAGCGACCCAACGACGGAGGAGCATCAGAGTGCCATGTTTTTCAATCAATCCCCAACGACTCTGACGTATGCGACAGTGAGAGGTGAGGCAAAGGTGGTACAAAGATAGTACCGTGGTTGTAATTGGAAAGGATACTAGAATCCGCCAACTAAGAGAGCGGACAAGGAGCACACTATTCTATGCTTAAGATGTGCTTGTTGGTTCATCGGGCTTGAGTATTTGAGCTATGGACGCTCAACTAGCATTCCCAAAGTCAGGTTACTTATTCAAGGCAAATGCCATTATTATCTCTGGTAGCAGTACTACAATAAGAATTTCCGTATTATTCCACTCTGTCAGAAATTGTGAGTGTTTTATTCTGTCCAAGCTATCCTTAACCTGTGGTTAGTCTCAAGAGTGTTTGTAACAGGCATGATAGAGACTTGGGTGAGATTCGAGGACGTGTCGGATAAAAGAGCCTTCGAAAAACGGACATCAAGACGCTCAGTCTCTTTAACCAATGTAATCTGGATGGCTCCTACAACGCCCTCGAGAGTATCTACAAGCATCAGTTCCAACTGGACATGTCAATTCAAAATATATGGTTCAGAGGTTCATGGAACTGGTGGATGATATTCGAAAATCGGCTTTTTGGCCGGAAGCCGGCCGACCACCCAAGGACAAATACGCTAATAACGCAGTCAAAAAGGAGCTTCTCAGCCATTCTCGATATGCACAGCAAATCATTGTCTACTAGAGCTTGAAGTACGGCATCAAGAACGGGGATACAAGACTCGTTGATCGGGTTATTGGTGTCTGTTGCTGTTACTTCAAGGGAACTGGACAGTCAAACTACGTATTCGAAATACTCTGCTTGAAGCGGCTAATAAATTTTAAGGCCTTTTACCTGATCCTAATACCTTAGAATACTTAATAGCTAGTATTAAATAAACGTGAATAATCGGAAACTCAATCTGCCCAGTCCATCTCACGTCCAGTCATGGAGCATGCACCACATTTTGTCAAGTCAGAACCGTATATTATATTAAGAGTTCCAAGGGATTTCATTGCTTCCAAGTATTATATGCTATCAAATTATGCCTTCATGTCTCATTCTAGTTTGCTTTTTCAGGCGACACATCTACTTGCGCGCCTCAAAGGGAGTCTCATAAGGCACCTCGGCCTGGGGCGTAATGCGAGCCAGGTGACGTCTCTGGCCGTCCTCCCAGTCTACAAGGGCCGTGTGCTGGGTAACTCTGTTGTCCCAAATGACGACGGTGCCCTCCTCCCACTTCACTCTAGCCTGAAAGTCGGCACCATATGCCAAGTGGTCATATAGGAACTTGAGAATGGCATCCGATTCTTCCCTCTTCAGGCCTAGAATCTCCCGTGTGACTATGGGTGTGTCTGTTAGCTGGTGTTTCAGGGGCGGCAGCTGCCTTGGTTGCCAGGTTGACTTACACTGGGGGTTGATGTAGAGCGCCTTCTCACCCGTGGCAGGATGAGTTCGCACAATGGGGTGGTCGTTGACCACGGGCTCCCGTCGCTTGATGCTGTTTCTGGCCGCGGCGGCGTTGACTTGTTCAATGCCGGAGTGGGTGGCTCGCAGGCCATGCAGACGCTCCTGGAACAGTGGGCTGAGACGGTTGTAAGCCTGGACGGCATCGACAAACAGGGTGTCGCCGCCCGTCTCTGGCTTGTTGAGGATATATAGGAAAGTTGTGCCGGGGGGTTGCTTCTCATACGACACGTCCGAATGCCAGGCCACGGAGCTGGTTCGGGCTTCAAAGAACTGAGCAGCTCCCTTGTCACCCTCGCCACGGTGCACAAGGTGAATCTCGGGATATCCCTCTGGGGCCCCAGACGTGGGGTGGATGTGGTGACGGCCAAAGTACTCGCCATACTTCAAGGCGTCTGGGATGGACAGGTCGGCAAAGTCTTGGTTTCTGAAGGCAACAACCTTGCGCTTGGCGACGTAGTGAGCCAGCTCATCTTTGCCCGCGTCGCTGAGTGAAGAAAGTTGGATACCAGAGATTTCTGAGCCAATGGTGGGCGTGAGTTGTGTGACCTTGGTTCCCTCAGGAAAGAGGTTGGGGTATGATGTGTCGGCGTCCTTGCCGTGCTCGTAGTGTTGGAAAGGCTCTAGGGGGCCCCATTTCTGCTCCCTGTTCCAGGTAGGGAGGTAGTGAGGGTACTGCGAAGAAATTCTGTTAGTATACATATTGTAAAGGAGATACACAGGTCATGTCACGGTACGTGATGGCAAGTAGAGACCTTCATACCTTGGCACCGTTACCGCCCTTCTTTCCAGTCTCGACATCGCGGTCCACGTTGTAAGGGTCAATTTCTTTATACTGTCCCAGGTGAAGTTTGTACGTTGGGCGAGGCTTAGCCTCCTCGGTGGCTGTGGTAGTAATTGCGGAAGGTGCCATGTTTGTATGCTGAGTACGTAGTATGTTTGTCTCCTGTCTTGCTCGATAAGCAACTCCTCGGACAGCATGAACAACGGACTCAGAGTTCCTTATATACTTGACTGCTCTGGGGGCCAACCCCGCTATATCTCCCTGACGCCAGATATTGCGAAATTATGCACGGTTACTGCAGTAGATGGCTTAGCCATCAGATCCTCCCCGGAATGTGATGCAGCTGACGGTATTTGGAAAGTCCCAAGTCAACACTAACATAATAGCTTGCAGTTTACACTTGAATACTGTTAGTGGATACACCAAGGCACGATCCCCGTTGACGTGATGATGGTGCCGATCACGTCACCTCACCCGATTCTTGCAAGTCTAACGCTGCATGATGCCCAGACATGCAAGCACGCAATTTTGGCCGGGCAAGACCTAATTCGTTTCGATGCATCAAATGAGAAGGTCTTAGACGTCGGTGTGTATCAGTCATGTCATGCCATGTCACACTGTGCCGTTGTCGGAGAGCAATGGCGTGCAGGATCTGGAACCGCGTCTAGGAATCTTGCTGGGCGGGCTCTGAGTTTGGACCAATTCCTCCAGGCATCGGTTGCAATATTATGAGGATAGATTGGCCCACATAGAGGGCGCGTCATCGGAATTTCTTTTCTCATGCAACGCCCCTCATCAATGGAAACTGGCTGTTCTCACGTAATCTAGGAGCACCTCTCGGACACGGGTAAAGAGCCCGAAAATATTCGGCAAGCGCAGTACATAATATGTGAATGTTTGCATCAAAAAGAGAAATTCATGGAAATGAGCAAGTGGTAGGTATCCGAGGTGATATTTACACCTTGCACTCCCGAGTCAACAAGACCAATGGATCTTGGACGCCCAGAAAGATTGGGAAGATGCCGGTCGCAACCATCGCTTAACGAAAAGGAGGTCTCGGAAGTTTCCGAGTCCAAATGTGAGACACTGCCAAGAGGGAAATTGCCGTTTAATATGGCGTGCCAATGGCGAGGCGTTCCAGTGACAGGTTGTGGCGGAGAGGTCTGCAGCCATCTTGGCAATTTCATCACGCAATACTAGCGACTTGACAAGTGGCGTTTTTGTCAAGGTAGATCATCACTAGAGCCTGCAGGAGAAGCCTTGGAAGGTTCCCTGGCGACTTCTCGAAGCCGTGACGAGGAACCCGAAACACGGTATCGTATTAGAGGACAGCATTTCGTTTCTACTGTGAAGATAATCGCTGGTATCTACTGGCAGTTAGTTGGCCCAGGTAATGTGTCGTGTATATTGAGAACAACTCTCATTACGAAGCCATACGCCAAATACCTAGGTACTTCAGTGTCTAAATATTAATACTCAGCCAGGTGTTTGTATTACAAATGGCCGCCATCGCTGTTCAACTCTCCAACGCCACGGAGGCTTGACTCGATCCCCACACTGTTGCCCCGTCTGTCAGCAAGTCAGCTACGGAGTACATATGTCTGGTACTCCGTACAGGGCGCGAATCCGGGGTGAGGGGGCACTGGGGGGATAAAACTGAGATGGTGGCCACGTACATGTATGCAGAGGCGACCGGCAAGCCCGCCCACGTGAAGAACTCCCATACAGCACCAACATGGAAAGGAACAAGGCCGAGGTTGTCCTGCCGCCAGAGGTGCTAGCTAGAATCCCCCAAACGACGCTCTGCTCGAGCGCCTTGGGCCTTGCATGGCAGACGGTGCAACGGCCCGTCTTCAATCACTCGATCCGGGTGTTTTTCGCGGCCCAGTGGTTGGCCGAGAAGGAAGGCTCGGAATGGGCGCAACCCGACAATTTGCCTCTCCTCTTTGTCGCCTGCGTCTGCCATGACCTGGGAACCAGCGACAACTTCAACGGACCCCAGCGATTCGAGGTGGAAGGCGCAGATGCCGCCCAGCATCACTGCCAATCTCACGGCATCTCGGAGCAAGACAGCCGCAAGGTTTGGACCGCCATTGCTGTTCACACCAGCCCCGGCATTGCGGAGAGAATTGACCCATTCTCCCGATTGGTTCGGTATGGTGTCATGATGGACTTTTCAATGGTAGTACGAGCCGACGTTGGGGCCGATGACTTGTTTGTTGAGCTCGAAAAGACGCTCCCCAGATTGGATATTGAGCGGGTTTTGGCAGACGCAGTGGTCAACCAAGCAAACGAGGTAGAGGCCAGCCAGCGTACAGATAACAAGAGCTGGTTCTCAACTCACAAATTCCCAATCGCTAGTTGGCCGGGTATATTGCTTCGAGCCCGCTTGCAGAACCCAGACCATGTAGGGAGGAACCCGGCCTTTTAAAGTATTCGAAGCTATATAATAAGTTGGGGAAATAGTTGAAGTTGTGTAATAAATGGCCTTTTTGACTAGATCGAGTGCGGCACGAGTAAGTCGGGTAACTGGCCCGGATTGCTACACGCGTGTTGAGCTAGTAGAGGAAATATGGCAGGATCCTGGTGCGTATTACATGGATAAATAGGATATCGGCCAACAAGAAGTGGTAAAAGTGCGGGATCCTTGAGGCGTGGGCGGCCCTATTAATTGCCCTGCCAAAATGCTAATAAAAGAAAAAGGTACGATAAAGGGACCGTCTCCGCATTTGCCAGAGAACAAACTGCGGTGAAAGTCTCACAGGCACAACCACAAGTTACGTCCGTTCGTGACCGCAGTGTAGGGTTTCCGACTTGAGAGACACAAGGAAATAATTTAACTACCAGACCCTTTTCTATCCGTCGATATGCGGTTGGCTGGGGAAATATGATAAGCTGATAGTCGAGTCGCGCTTAGTGACACTCTCCGACGGCATCTACTACACGGACCTGACTTTTACCGTTTCGGATTCTTTTTAACCTTCTTGACCCACGGCTACTTCCTAGTAAAGGCTATATATATAACTGGCTTCTTATGAGAAATATGGCGGTTTGGCATAAAGTTATAGGCCTCCTTTTTTTTGCATTCAAACCAATTGGAAGCGATAAAGGTCAGGCCCGTGTAATATATTCTAATAGCATGTGGTTCTTATTTTATATCATCTACATTCCAACTAACCTTTCTACTACTATTATTACGGTTAGTCGGCCTTAAAAATAAGGGCTCAGATAGTCTTAGCATCCCTCCTTATTAGTCTGGCCTTGGGTAGTCCATAGGCTATTCATTCCCCCAATGATGATGACGGTGGATGTCCCCAAGGAGGAAAGGCAATTCTCGGACTGGTAACTTTCGTTAAATGCCAACCCATTTATATGAGGAAAAAACATCCATTTTGGCCTTGGTTAACCACTTTCGGGGCATTGTGGTAGTCTTCTTTATTTTTCATTTACAACAAGGTACTACCCCCGGCAAATTCCTTCAACCATTTGCTCTAGAAGAAAGTCTCTATATTTGTTACATCTCGGAATTCGGTCATTGGTGCCGTATGGGTTCCGGAATCGACTTGATCGGCGACATTTGCATGGCTCGTGGAAGGTCAACGGTGTACTCGGTACCCAGCCATGCCATCAACTGGCATCAATTGATGTCTGGTCTTTCTAAACACGCTGCTGGCACAGTTACCCACTGATATTTCAGGTTGTATCGGCAAGACGAATCTTTGCACTTGAATCGGTCACGAGCATCCCATTTACCTCGGCACCGGAGTGTGGTAGTTGGACAATTGGACTGCTACAATGAGGCGCACTTAGTCTAGCATGCTTTCCTGGGGACCATGTACGCATCGCACTGCGCTAACATTGAATCGTTACACTCTTCGGGTGGTTTCGTTGTCGCATGGTTGGGCGACAAAGGTTGCACAAAGAATGCGACCTTGGGCCAAACACTGTCTCGGTCCTCGACCCCTCACCGACTTCAATTTGAAGATTTCAGTAACCCTTATCGCTCATCATGGTGTTAACTAGCAAGGGCAGCAGCACCAAATACCTTGGCGGCTCTGGCGATGCTCTTACAATTTGGATTTCTATAGCCGCAAGCACCGTTCTTGTCTTCTACGGATACGATCAGGTAAGCCCGGGTCTTTCTCCCTACATGACGCCTCCACTTACCACTTGTGTGTAGGGAGTGTTCGGAAATGTCCTAGTCACGCAAGATTTCCTCGACACCATGGGCAACCCCTCAGCACAAGACCAAGGGACCATGACATCCGTATACAACCTTGGCTGTTTTGCTGGCGCATTGTCCACCTTGTATTCTGGCGACAAGCTCGGCAGACCGAGGACTCTTATACTCGGCAGCCTCATTGTTGCCATTGGTGCCGTCATCCAAGCTGCATCCTGGGGTGCAGCCCAGATGTATGTTGGCCGTGTCGTGGCTGGCTTGGGTACTGGCATGAACACTGCCACTTCTGGCGTGTGGCAGTCCGAGACGTCAAAAATGCGAAGCCGTGGAAAACTAGTCATTATCCAAATGGCAAACTGCATCGCCGGCTTTTGCTTGTCAAACTGGCTGACCTTGGGCTTCTCGTTCGCTCCGGGCAGCGTATCATGGCGATTTCCACTGGCCTTCCAAGTCTGCAAGTAGTTCGAAGTCTTCTTTTGTTTGGCAAGGATATTCTGACCTCGAAAATAGTCTTTTCTGGGCTCATCATGCTTATATGTCCCTTCCTGCCGGATTCCCCGCGTCTATTAATTCGCAAGGGAAAGTATGACGAAGCCCATGACGTGCTCGCAGCTCTCCAAGGCGACGATGCCACTGCCGATTCACCATCCGTCAGAACACAATTCTCCATCATTAAGGGCATCCTGGACACCGAGTATGCCGTCACCTACACGTGGTGGCAGCTCTTCACTGGCAAGGGACCTGCAGGCGTCGTTCGTCGAATGATCCTTGGCGCATGGATGCAAGCTATGAACCAGATTAGCGGTATTAATGTCACCTCATATTACATGACAGTGAGTTAAATCAGGACTAAACCGCCGGAAATAAGGCACTAAGGAGAAAGCAGTATGTCTTTATTCATTCAATCGGTCTTGATGAGCTCCTGGCTAGAATCCTAGCTGCCGCCGGCTCTGTTGATTACCTTATTTTCTCCTTCCTCGCGTATTTTGTCGTTGAGCGCTACGGACGTCGCAAGGTTATGATGACCTCTGCGGTTGGATGTGCCCTCTGCTGGATCATCATTTCAATAGCTCTTGGACTTTCGGAAACCGGCAGAGGGGATTCTTTCAAGTTGGGTGTTTTTGCTGTTAGTTTTTTCTTTGTCTTTTTTGCCTGTTTCGCCACGGGCGTTCTCGGCGTGCCATGGTTGTACCCAACGGAAATAAACGCCCTGGCATTCAGATCCCAAGGAGCGAGTCTTGCCATGGCCACTAACTGGATAATGAATTACATGGTGGCTCAAATCACGCCTCCGGGAATCGAAAACCTGGGTTACAAATTCTGGATCATCTGGGCCGTAATTTGCGCGTCCTTTGTTCCCACTACCTATTTCTTTTATCCAGAGACAGCCAACCGATCGCTCGAAGATATCGACAGATTCTTTGCTGACAATCCAGGTATCTTTGTCTTTAGAAACAAGATAGCCACCCAGCTCCAAAGACCGTCCATTTACGAAGAAGCAGACAATAGAGTTGCGCACAGGAAAGAGAATATAAGCGATAAGAAATTGGCGACAATTGTTAGTACCAAACCAAAGGAACAAGGAGCTCATTACCAGGCAGCTTCCTTGTCCCAACAGTAAAGCTAGTATTTGAGGCCATTTGGGACTGTTGCTTAAATAGTCAACCAGGAAGGAGAGAAATACAACCTCTAGTAAGAATCTCTGTTTATTACGTTTTGGGGCTGGGTAATTGACGCTGTATGTGGGAGCTACCAGTAGCTAGTAAGAACATTTCACCGGCCGCCGCTAGAGACATCGAGACATGGACTGTTGAAACAAGGAAACATATGGACATACCAATTAAAACAAGCTCAAGGCCTGCTTCAATTCGTTGCAGGCGTCCTAGGCCTCCTCGAATCCTCGACCCTGGGGTGCGGGATCGCCAGCCTCGGTCGGCCTCGTTCCCACGCGCAACTCCTAGTCCGCCTCCCGAAATACGATATCGAATCCTCTTTGAAGCAGGGGTGATCTCTTTCAGAGAAGACGCCGTGGCCTAAAACTACTAATATATAAAGCTATAAATATATAAAAACGTTGAGCTTATCGCTCGCGCCGGTGGGCACGTCGTGGAACCAGCCGTCAAGAAGTCTGCGACCACCAAGGCCCGGCGTGCCAAATTTTCGCAGGAGTTCACTGCCGCCACCAAGAAGTTCACGAGCATGGTTGATCGTGCCCGTATGAACCCCAGCCTGGTCTGCACGATAATAATACCAACCTAGGTTGGTAGTGTGGAAAATCATTGGGCAATCGTAGCCGGCCAGGCATTACGACACAATCGCTTCATCCAAAATGCCGAGTGAAAACATTGTGACAACACTTGCAAGTCAAATTTATATCCCAAATTCTTTTCTTTTGACCCCTTCACATAATTTGTTGGAGCAATAGAGCGCGTTATTTTTTCCCATGTCGTATATTAACCGCTCTTTGTCTAAAACTGCATTTGGTGCTTCTCCCATCTAGTCCCATGAGGTCTGAGCAGGCAGGGCCAAAATTCCTCTCGCCAGGGACGATTGACCTCTTTCCACAGGAATAATGCTATTTACATTCTTGTGACACGCCGTAACCCTCCTGCCATATAATGCACGAGACACTCCAAATCGCTATCCTTCCCGAGGCGTCACGCTCAAGAATAATCAACATCGGCTTCGACTGACAGCATGTGTCACACATCAGGCTGCAACAGCTTCCGCTGACACTCAAGACTCATCAGGGTTCTTGTAAAAGGATGAATAGCGTCGAGCTTAAAGACCTCTGCGAGCCGGGGCTTACCCTTCCACCAATAGCGCTGTCTGAATATACTATCGTCCGGCGTCGCTGTGCTCTTTGGCTCATTTATGAGAATAGTGATGCCATGACCGGTATGCGCGACCGCAACCTTTTCCCACGCGCACTTAACTTCAGGACAGAATTTGAACTCTGCGGTTTTCGTATCCAGGGGTAGCTGCCAATAACTTTCCCAGAATAACATGGCGTCTGAATGCTCAACGCTGTAGCGGAAGAGGCAAGAGGGTACATCGCATTTGTAGAGACGGCAAATACTGGTGTTAAATATCTCTAAGCTGACAAGATTCGGCAGGTTTTCGGCAACTTGAGCTGTGAGTAGAAGCAGGCGGTTAATAAGGCCCAAGTCATTATCAGGACGCAGTATATCCGACCTAAAGCAGACTCTCTCAAGCTTGTGCCATTGCGCCGGCAATAGCGGTGTAGTCAGAGCATTGGCAGAAGGACATTGCATTTCTGTAAGCCGAGTCTCTGTGCCCAAGGGCTCTACAACAGAAACTTCCTTGAATCGGTGCCCATGATTGTATAGTAGATCCATGACAGATAATGGCCTGGTCTGTACGGGAGTTGGCCTCATGAACCCTCTGAAATTTTCTGCAAAATAGTGAAAACTTTCAAGGCTTTCTGGCAAGGATAAAAGTACATGTTCTCGAAAGTCTAATTGCGTACGTTAGCCAAGGAGTCTTTTATTGGGCACGTTTCTCACATACCTTTGAGATATTTCTCTTCTTCTTCGTTGGTTCTCCTGCAGAATCTCTCTAGCCTCAAGGAGTTAATATGTACCAAGCTCTCATGGATAAGTTTGGTAAGTGCTAACGGACTCATCTGTCGCTGGAACTGACGCCTTATGAGTAGAGAGTTGATACTTTCTACTCTTGGAAGATGGCTGTTCTTGAGTCCTTGGAATTGCAAGAGGGACCCGAGGTATCTCCCGACTGGATGAAAACCCTGCGGTCTGCTTAAAGTCAATCTGGTAGCTCGATAATGCAGTGGACGAGTTTCAATACTATTGTATCTTTTTTTTTGGTTGTGAAATATTGTCATTTCGATTGTTCCATCGAGATTGTCCCAGCTTCGGAAAGGGTAGTCGTGATGCGTGGTGATGTCATCGTAGTAATGTCTAGAGTCACTAGAAGACTTAATGGCTAGCTCTAGTGTTAAGCCACCAGAGCGGCCTCTAGGTACCCAAGTCGAGAGTATACCAAGTAGCATCTCCATTGCAGCAGTGAAAACTCTGTTGTTTCTATTCATTATTAGCATGGCATCGTAAGAGTGAGGATATCAGAAGATGGATCATACCGATAAATGTCAAACCAACTTTCGAGTTTGTGGCATGACGGGCAAGAATAACCTGGCAACACAATGAGAAACAATAAATGACGAACGTAAGTAGTTCTGTGGGCGTTCTTTCCGCTCATGATGCGTGCAAAGTCTTGTAGAGCGGTGTCGTCGACCAAAAGATGACGAAAAGTCATCTTCTCAAAAAAAGATTGCCATTCAGAGCAGACTGTGGCGTACGAGGCAAGTCGATCAGGCCTCTCGCCGCCGTAAAAGTCAAGTCGATCATTTCCATCGCCCTGGGATACCAAGTTAAGAATTTCGAACCGCAATTCAGGTGGAAGGTCGAGCCAAGTTGCATATGTCTGGGGGCCGTCTTGCGGCTGCGGAACAGGTGCGGATGCCATGGATAGAGAAGATGGCACGAGTAGAGAAGAGAGAGAGAGAGGATTCGAAGTATACAAGAATCGTCGCGTAGCGAGAGATGGGGCCGATTTATGTCTAGATGAAAAGGAGTTAAAAATTGTGGGCTTCATGGAGAAAATTCTTAGATTTGCCTAATTAATAAAGTTCATCTAGCTAGAGCTACTTTGATAACTCACTTCAATGTTGAAAGCAAGTAAGTTTGTACTAGCATTTTATACGCTGGCCTAAATCTGTAGTGGCACGAAGACATTGTACATATAATGGCTGCCACTGAGGCCAGCACATATGGTACCAGCTTGACCGTAAATTTAGCTTCCAGATCTAACCAGTTAACATTATTGGGCGTACATATGTATGCCTAGGATAAAGTTTAGGCAGCTTCAGTGACAGACTAGGGCCTGGCTGCTTATCTTAGCTCAATTGAGGCTGCCCCGCTAAAGTTTAGTTCTTGAAGCGGAAATGGATTTTGGTGGTTTGTCGCGACAACTAGAGTCTGGTGTTTGGCACCAGAATATTGTAAGTAATAGTACATGTATATAATTATTATAAAATTGTAAACTACTATGCAAGTAACGCGTTATATAATATATAAGTCGGGGTTATACTAATATATTTTACGTATTTAATTGGACAGGATTACTGCAGTAACAGGCAGAAGAAGTATACTTTATTAGTTTAAGCGAGGCGACTTCTGGCATCCTATTATTACTCGCGTTTTGCGCCCTTGTGGTCTTCCGCATTTTCTTCCTGTTTGTGAGCAACAGGAACTGCTCTTCAGCATCCGTAAAGTTTGCAGCACAAAATCCCCAAATTGGGCTAACGCATTTGGGCACAGTGCGCATGGTACTATACCTAACCATGTCTAAAACTCGTGACCCACGGAAGGACTGGTACGGTACATGTCCACGATAGCAGGGCCGCCTAGTCTTAGCATCGCCATCTTTATCACCTTGTCTTTAGCGAGCAAATTTCCGTCGCTAGTATCACATGCGCTCTCCAGTCAGGCCAAATAGCTTGTAAAACGAGGCGCCATGTAGGTCTCTAATAACTACCCCAACTCCGGCTTTTTTTTTTTTACCTGCGGCTAGAACGTCCTAGCTCTTGGCCTAGCCGGGGTTCCAAGTATTAGCCTAAGAAGCGGCCGTGTTAGGCAGCGGATTCAGGGGGATAACAGTGCAATACCAGTACCGAGCGTCTTCATGTTCGTACCAGGGATGCCGGTGGTCGTGAATCGCGCAGCTGTCGCGGTGCCGGTTATTAGATAGCATCATGCTCATCTCGAAGGTACAGGAAAGAGATCTTATAGGCAACCAGGTTTTATAAGAAATAATTACAGTATAAGGCAGACTAGAGGAAATAAGTATAAGAATAATAAAAAAGGTATAATAGTAGCTTAGTAAGAATATTTAAATATAAAGTACTAGTAAAGGTAACTAACTAATAAAAAGCTAAGAAATTATAGCTAATAGGAAAATAAAAGGCTTAGAACGTAGCCGGCGGGTAGGGCAGAAGAACCTTTCGTTCTTTAAGGCACTTATAGATTAATGTAGAAACAGGAGAGGTGATAAGTTGTTAGATTCTCAGTGACCACAAAATATGAAGGCTGGCTCAGGTAGTTGGGGAGTAAAAATAAAAGACCTCAATTCTTCAAGTTAAACAAGAAGAGAAGACAGACAAGAGTACATCACAATATTTTATCTCCGTAATAGTGCCACCGTATTTCTGACTAAAGTCCAGATTGTTCCGTCTCCTGAATTTTCTTTCGTTTTCGACATGTACGGCTTGGTGAGTTTGCTGTTGAGAAGACGATCTACATAGGAGTGAAAGTGAATATCCCAGGTGAAGAAGGGTTCGCCGCTAACTGTAGATGCGCGATGCGAAAGACATTAAATGTCCTATCAAATAACCTGATAGGGTGTACGCTGCGGCGACGAGGGGATACTATTATATTTAGTCCGAGGATCAGGTTGATGTTCTAAAAGGCCCTTTGCGTTATAAGTGAACGAGCCAGTGTGAACCTGGCAAAATATTGCTGGGACTGCGAGGCACACGGACGTCGAAGTTTGACGGGGGTGTGTGGTGTCCTCGCATTGCGATTCGTGCAGCCTGTACGTGCAGCTATCGCGGTGTCGGACACTGGACATGTTATTGTCTAAAGTGCGGGAGAGAGGCTTGGTAGGCAACAGAGTGCCTGAAGAGATAACTGCTGCACAGGCAAGGTTATGGAGCGAAGCGAGAAGACCGTTGGAGAGGCATTGGAGAGGCAGGGGGCTGGCTGGACTTGGAGAGACATATCAAGGCAGGCAGAGTAGCCAATAAGAGGGCGAGAAATTCTAACCAATAGGAGATAAGGGATTTAGCGGGGAGGAAATTTTGGCGTCGGGGTGCGTCCAGAAGAGCCTTTCGTTCCTCAAGGCACGTAGAGTCAGCCTTCGGCTGAACAAGCAGCCATGGTCGATCTCTAGGTCACAGCCCTCTGCGAGAAACCAATCGGAAGTCGCAGATGCACCACACACGCATACCCACACCTTCTGCAGCCCCGGTTGTTTCTGCCCGGCACGATTTTAGGTTTGAGCCAAGGCGCCGTTATCTCGGTACTCAGACTTGTGACTCAGGTACCCGTTTCACCATGTCGTGGCTAGCTTCAGACCAATCTTACGTGCCGGAAAATAGCTGAGAAGAAGTCTTCTTATCAGGTTTTATGTGGCTCATCAAAAAGGTCAGACATTCTCTTAGACAAGCTTCTTTATAGGCGCCCTAATCTTCATTCGAAGGA